TCCGTGGACCTCCAGAATGAGGAGGGGGGAAGGGGAAGGGGAAGGGGAAAGGGGAAGGGGAGGAAGGAGGTGAATCGCAGCCACCACCGTGATTGTGGCTCCCTTGATTGAGGGCGGGGAGGCTGCGTTCACTTGCGCGACGTGCTTTTCAACACGCCGGGGATGCAATCGCAGCAGACCTCGTCGACTCGGAAGCCTCCCGCGTGACAAGGGCACCGTCGATGGCGCCCTGCAGCAGCCTCACGACCATGCGAAGCCCTGGTCGGGCACGTCCGAAAGGCCACGCCGCCGCAGGACCTCACTGACCGGCACCTCGCGGGCACGACAAGGAGCTGGGGAAGAGGGGGGAGGGGGGGAGGAGGAGGAAAAGCGAGCGAGGAAGAGGAGGGGCAGGAAGCAGGAGGAGGAGGAGACAGAGGAGGCCGAAGGCACGCGCCGCCCCAGCTCAGGCGGGAGAAGAAGGGGTGCACGGGAACGGAGGGAAAGGGAGGGAAAGGGAGGGAGGGAGGGAGGGAGGGAGGAGCGAAGAGGGGGAAAAGACGGAGGCGTCAGGAGGCAGTTCCTGGGAGTTCTTCGTGGGAACCAGTGAGAACTGAGCCAGATTGAGCTGCGTTGAGCAGGATGTCGGCGGAATAGAGTAGGGCTAAGCGGGATCAGCCCAGGCTTCGACAAAGGATTTAACAAGGCCGATGCTGCACTTAACGTCCCAGGAGCTGCAAGCAACCAGAAGGAGTGACTGACGGGGAGCGGAAAGGAGGGAGAAGGGTCTCGTCATCCCCCGTTCTCCTTTCCCCGAGGAGATCGCGTTGCCTGCAGCGAAATGTGGAGTGGGCGGGTGCGGCGAAAGGGGGGTGTAGCGCAGCGAAACGAACGCACTGCAAAATCGGTGCTGCCTCCTCTCGTGCCTCGCCCTCAGAATCGTGTAACTCTGCCAAGCATGCTGCGGATCATACAGTGGGGGCCAGTCCGAAAGAAACCGTCCACCAGAAACCCAACCCTGAGACCCCAGGACGTCCGTTGATCTTTGGTGCGAGAACGCCACGCTCTCCACGGCAAGACCATCGAAACCCAAGAAACCCAGGGCACCCTGGAGGCAAGCAGGGTGTTTCTTGGCATGTCGGGAGCGCGCACACATGGATCGGGGGAAGTGCCCTCCCCAAAATGCGGCCGGTGGCGCCTCGCTCGACGGCGGAAATCCGCGATTTCTCTTGGAAATGGGACCCGTCGCTAATCCACGCCCCCTTAATTAATCCATATTTGCGATCGCCTGAGCATGGGCCTCCGCTGTACCCCGACAAAGGAGGCCCCTGCGAGGTGGAGCCTGCCCCCCTCCCGCCGCGTTCCCCCCCATGGGCGCCTTCGCGTAGTCGATCCCCCGGCCGTCGGGCCGCAGGTCCGCGGGACCCCCCGCCGGGTGCACGGGCCCAAGTCGGCCTCGCGCGTGGATCCCCTGCACGCCCCCTGCCTTCGGTGGCGCCCCTCTCTGCCCCTCGTTTGCGGGCCGAGGTGGCGGGGGGGGGGTGCTAACGGAACCTCGGGCCTCGGGGCGGCGTGCCTTGGTCTCCTCTCCTGCCCTCCTCGCAACCCACAGACGCACGCACACGCACACGCGCACGCGCACGCACACGCACACGCACACGCACACGCACACGCACACGCACACGCACACGCACACGCACACGCGCACGCGCACGCGCACGCGCACGCGCACGCGCACGCGCACGCGCACGCGCACGCGCACGCGCACGCGCACGCGCACGCGCACGCGCACGCGCACACGCGCACACGCGCACAACAGACACACAGACACACAGACACACAGACACACAGACACACAGACACACAGACACACAGACACACAGACACACACACACACACACAGACACACAGACATACAGACACAGACACACAGACACACAGACACACAGACACACACACACACACACAGACACACGGACACACGGACACACAGACACACACAGAGAGAGACACACACACACACACACACACACACACAGACACACGCACACGCACACGCACACGCGCACAGACTCTGTGCTCCGCAAGGCGTCCAGAAAACGGCCCCCTGCCTCCCTCGCCTCCGCCCTGCCTCCCACCTCTCCCCCCCCTGTGGCGGGCGGACGCTGTTTGCCTGTTCGGCGCTCGATCGGAACCGAGGGAAGCAGGAGGCGGGCGGGGTAGGGCGCGATGCAGCCGGAATGCCGCTCCACCCAGGAGGACGCCAGGATCAGTCAGCGTCGGATCGGCAAATCGGGTCGAGTCGAACAGCGCATCGGGTCGGGCCGCATCGGCGCGGAATCGAAACCGAACCGGATCGTCTGCGCAAAAGGATGCACGACAGCGCCGTGCGGGCATCGGGCCGCCTCGGATCGTCGGAACATCGGATTCAAGTCGGGTCGGGCTGGCTGGAGCCGATAGCGAATCGGATCGAGCGGATCGAAATCCACCCTGCGCCGCCGGCCACAGACCCCCAAACCGGTCCTGGCCGGGCTGGCGCCGGGCGGCCCGGGACCGGAGCACGCGCCGGCCCGGCCCGGGGCGGGAGGGCCTCGGCACGCGCACGCGCCGAGGCTGCCCGGGCCCGGGACCGGCCCGGCCAGGGCGGCTACCGTCGGGGCGTTGACCTAAGGAACTTTAAATAAGGAACGAGGCCCCTTTCTCCCACAAGTTGAACTTCGACTTCCCATGGAAAACCTCAGGAAAACCGAAGACAACCTGCAGAACAATCCAGGAACACCGAGCCCCTCCCCGACGAAAAGGGTTCCTTCTTCAGGGCCCCGACTGTATGTGCGGGGCTGCGCAGGCGGGGGCTCCGCTCGGCGGGCGCGGGCTGCTCTCCCGCTGCCCCCCGGTCGCCGTGGCCCCCGTCCGCGGCGCCCAGGGCCCCCTTATAGCCTTGGACGGGGGCACGGCCAGGGCGTGGAGACGGAGGGCCCCCGGGGAGCTGCCCCTCCAGGGGCCCTCCGTGGTGGCTCCTGCGCGGCGCGAGGAGGGCAGGAATGGCGAGCTGAGAGACAGCAGGGGGTCGATGCGGACTGCGCGTCGGCACGGGCGCATGCGCGGTGAGGTCCACGTGCATGTCCTGCGAGTAAGCCCACCTGCAATTGTCCCGGGCCTTCCTGTGCCTGAAGTCGTAGCCCCACAGCCGCGAGAACGTGGAGAGCTCCCGCTTCAAGCCCAGGCCGTACTTCTCCCCGAGGCCGATGTCCTTCACGGCTGCTCCTGCCGAAGGGCGCTGCAGTCCCAGCATAATCTCGATGCCTTCAACGGTCTTTGCCTTCAACCCGTTGTCCTGTTTGTTCTCCCAAAATAAGCTTGGCTTGGTCTTCCGATCGTAGGTGTGAAACAGGAGGACCCGATGAAACGTATAGAAGTCGTAGCCCCATGTCCACATTCTGAGCGCCATGACAGTCTCCTCCCCTTGGAAGATCAGCGGGAGGAGGCCGTACGGGACACGCGCGACGCGATGCCCGCGGCTGAAGGAAGATCCGGCGGCCCAGACAGGCTGCAGGACTGGTGAATCCTTGACCTTCTCCCAGCTAGGGAAGATCTCGCCCGCCGCCTGGTGCCTGACCATGCCGTCGCTCTGAAACAGCGACTTGCAGATGACCGGCGTGGTCTTGTGAAGACTCTGGCCGGTGCCCACTATGCTGCCCGGGGCGTAGTTGGTCGGGTACGTGGTCAGGACTGCGTACTCGTTGCGCGTCGCTTTCCACTGCTTTATCATCAGCGTGTCCCACTTGGCAACGAAGTACATGTGCAGAGGAGCACGAAGCTGCACAAACATAGCTTGCGGAGGCCCGCACGGCCTCGTCGGCTCGGCGCCAGAGCCCACGGCGCGGGAAGCGCGCCTGCAGGGGCGGCGCTGGAGACGCGGTCCAAGGGCCCGGCGCTGACCCGAGAGATCCGAACGGACCTCCGAAAGCTTGGGTCCGTGTCTCGCTGCGTTGCTCCTCGGATGTGGGCGTCAATCTGCAGCGCGAAGTACTCGCCGCGATAGAGCCGGTCCGCCCGGTACCGGCCGTACGTGGGCCCCTGCGCGCCGCGGGCGTCCACGCGGTCCACGGTGATCTGGCCCGAGTGGACGCAGAGAATCGGCGACACGCAAGAGAGACCCCAGGCAAGCGTGGCCTGTGGTTCGGGGGGTGCTGGTCGGCCAGGGGGTCGACTGCAGAATGGACTTACCCAACATGGGTTTCATCGTCGGGCCCACGAGAAGAGCACGTGGAATGATCTGCGAGCAGTCCACGTACGTGTCGCACACTCGACGAGAAAGCCAACTCTGGGGTGAACCAGCTCTGCAGTCGATCCCCTGCTCGTGCTGGAGGGGTGCCCCCGAGCCAGGGTGCCCCTGGCCTGTCGCCCTCTCTCTCCGGGAGCCCCCCGTGGCGCCCTCCGGGCTCCAGGCCTCGCGCGGGGTCCTCTGGAGGCCGCGGGGGGCATCCGCGGAGATCGGGGGGCACCTGTCGAGCAGGGTTGGGTCGGGCGTGTCCCCTGCAGGGCGGAGGCGGCACGAAACATGGAAGAAGGATCCACAAAGAGGCACCAGTACACGATACAACTGTCGCTGTTGACGAAGTCGGTCCCAAGGTTCTGACCATACCAAAACTTGAAATATGCTCAGGCAACAAGGAGGAGGGTTCGAAATGACCTCGAAATGAGACAACACATCATGGAATACCGAAAACATCGCTGCTCATTCGCACTAGACTTTTAACGCACCAGGTCCCACCTCAAGAAAGAATCAAACATGGTCAAGAGCAGTCCAGGAGTCAAGGAAGCGTCCCCAGACCATGCGTCGACTGTTCCTGAGCTTGCCTCCTGTAGGGGGGACACGCCCGACTTGAGAGTAGGAGGTCGGCTACAGAATTGATTGACCCCAAACTCTGTTTTCGGCCAAATCTACGGAAAATGCGGAAAATGCTCCGCAAATCCACTGCACATTCCATGTACGCTTTGTAGATTCGACTGGAAATCAATGTTGGGGTGAAGCCATGCTGTAGGCGATCCCCTGTTCGGACCTTGGGCCGGGGGCGCGTCTGGCAACACCCGATTGATGCGAGACTTTCGGCGGGCTCGGGGGCCGCTGCGCGCCCCCCCGAACGTCGCGCCATCAGAGGTCGCGCAACGCGAGCGCGCAAGCCGCTGCGATCGCGTCGCATGCAGCCATCCGGGGCTCCCACCGGGCCCGCACCAAAGGTCACTCCGGCGAAACGTCGCTCTTACCTGTTGCCGAGAGAAGCTGGCTCGGGTCGGCGTCGCAGGGCACGGTCGTGAAATTGCAGGGCAGGTCGCCCTGGCTGGGGATGCTCTGCTCCACGGCCCCGAAGAAGAGCCGGCGCGGGTGCTCTGCCATTCGCAGCGCCTCCCGGATGGTGTTGTGGCACAGGTCGTCCCTGTAGGAGGCGATGCTGATGAAGATGGTCGGCTCGCCGTCCACCGTCGTCCCCGCGGCCTCGTAGTCCTGCTCGTAGCCCACCGGCCGCTCCCACTCGGGCGGCGGCGGCGTCTCGACGACCGGGGGAGGGCTGAAGACCTCTGCGCAGAACTTCCGGTAGGACATGTCCATCCCACTCGCAGACGGCGTCGTCTCACCCATCGCGCGCAGCTGGAACCGATTATCGTCCGAGGCCGGAACTTGTACGTGACTGTGTCTGTTCCCTGGGGAGGGTAACGAGTATTACCCCAAGGGGGGGGGGGGGGACGAGCCCGGGGGAAGACGGCAACGGGGGCTACGGTGTGAACACCTCAACGCAAGCGTGCAGCATCAGTACTCCAAAGACCTGCGACCACGGCTTCGCCCACGCTCCCTGCGTACGCATTCGCACACTCGGCGGCGAGCCCAGCTGGGAAGTCAGAGGGGGCAGGCCTTCTCAGAAGGCTGCGGGGCTTCTCAGAAGTCCTCGCGCCTTCTGAGCAGCCGTCTGTGTCTTCGGAGAAGGCTTAGAGGACTTCTCAGAAGGCGCGAGGGTTTTCGAGAAGCTCCGCCGCTTTCTGAGAAGACTGGCCCCAGCCGTCCATCCCCCCCCTGGGCTCCTCCTGCATACAACCACACGCACACCCAGAAATGTGTTCTGCCACTCCCTCTACTGTTCTGTCTCGCTGTTCTTTACTATATTTAACAAAAACTTCGCATACATACATGCAGATGTGTGTACATTTACACAAATACATATTTCTATGTGTGGGTCTGAACAGATACAAATATCTCTCGCACGCACACACACACACACGCACTCCACCACCCTCACGCTCACCTCCAAAGACACCGACACACACCAGCACACTCATACGCACTCCCACCCTCCCCTGCTCCTCCCTTACACAGATAGACAGAAAGACAGACGGACACCCACACACAAACACAGACGCGCAGACACACATAAAACGGACATACCCCACTCACACACAAACACTAAACAACAAGACTCGACACGAAACGAAACCACACGACAGAACACAACACAAAAAACACAACGTACAACACATACACACACACACACGTGTACACAACACATACAATACATGACATACACATAGAACGCACGTCACACACACACACACACGGCACACACACACACACATATTCTCTCACACACACATACAAACACATACCTTCACACACACAAACAAACAAACAAACAAACAAACAAACGAACACATCACGCACACAAAAACACAAAACACACACAAACACACTGTTAAGTCAGTGGAGCAGAGTCTTCAAGAGCGGGCAGCAGATGGAACAAGACACACATACACAAACACACACACACACAACTTCCTCGCACCCACACGCACTTCCACGTACCCAGACAACACACTATTTGGCGTCGCGGCCACGCGCGCGGCGGTGCGGCGTAGAGAGTCGGGCGAAGACATGCGCGCGGCTGGCCCAGATCACGCGGCGTGGGGACACAGGGTCCGCCCACCGGGGATCGACATGTAACCCGCGGGAGGATGACGCGATGGGAAAGGGACGGGTCTGAGAGGATAGCCAAATACCCGCCAGCGCCACAAAAAACTGCGAGCGCCCCATGCATGCACAAAATCTATACTGGACCCTGCAAGTACCACAATAGCCCGCGAGCGCACTGACATGGCTGCAAGCGCCGACAATGAGCCTGTCAGCCTCACCACCTCCCGCGAGCACCACAAGATGTGCCTCTGACCGGCTCTCCGGCGCCACCGCCTCGCCAAGGGCGGGGGCCGGGGAGGGCAACAGCCGGCACGCCCTGCAGGGGGGGGAAACTTCTGACCTGGAGGCAGAAGGCCCTCAACAGCACAGCGAAGGATTGCAAAAAAACCTTTGATTGCAAAAAAACCTTTGGTTTTTTTGCAATCCTGGGTTTTTTGCAATCCTTCGAGCAGAGAGAGAGAGAGAGAGAGAGCCTGCTGCTGCGCTGCACATACGGGAGACCACACGGGACGCCACACACGGCAGACCACACTCGGGCGACCGATTCTTCGACCTGGCGACGACAGCCCGAGACACCCTGCGGGAGGGCGTGCGGCAGACGCCACCGGGTCACGGATTTTCCGGGGCCGTCGGCGGCCCCTCCGGGCAGACCGCACTGTGGAGCCCCCTGCGGGGAGACCAGCAGATTGTCGGCTGCTGGGCCTGCAGCGGCCCCCCCCCGGGGCTCTCCTCGCGAGCCGCGCGCAGGGCCTCTGCTCAGAAGGTCGCATGTCCGCCGCCCTGGGAACCGACGTCCCAGGACCCCGGGGAGGCACGGACATCATCTGTGCTCCCCTCACCCCCAGCCCAAAAGTGCAGTGGGTGCCCGACCACAGGAGACCTTCCACCAGAAACCCAACCCTGAGACCCCAGGGCGTCCATTGATCTTTGGTATGGGAACGTCGCGCTTTCCATGGCAATACCATCGAAGCCCAAGAAACCCAGGCCACCCTGGAGGCAAGAAAGGTGTTTCTTGGCATGGGTCTCCACTGCATCATCCGTCTCGACGCCTTGGCATCCACCGATATGCTTTCTTGCATCCGCGGCCCCAGCTGTCTCGACCCCTTCCCCTGGAGCAAGTGCTCGTGCCCGATCAATGTTTGACGGTCCCCGGGGACGAAAACAGCCCCAAAGCGCAGAAATCGAGAGAAATAAATGGTTGGAAAGATCATATCGTAGGAGATCTGGGCTGGCTCCTGGAGTCCTTAGACATCGGTTCCCAGGAGGTGGATATGTATAAGTTCCGGCCTCGCACATCGCTTTGCGATGTGATTCCACCGCAGGTGGGCTCTTGCATGCAGGCCGGAGAGGCCGCCGCGAAGGACTCGTACTCCGCGCAACCCCTGGAGCAACCCTGAATGAAGCCGCCGAAAGGGCCCCCGAGGTGGCACTGCTTGGTCCCGCGATGTCTCGGGCAACGTCAACTATTGGGTCAGATGGCACGGAGGGGCCAGCGGAGCGGGAGGTCGCGACTGAGCTCCCGCAGCTTGCTTCCCGGGCACTCCCAGCGCAGGCCAGTGTGTCGGGCTGCGGGGACGAAACTGGCTGCAGACAGCAGAGTTAGCCCCCAGCCTTCTCCAATCCATCCCATTTCGTCCGTGCACATCACCGATCCTGGCCGGGCCGGTCCTGGGCCAAAAGTCGGTGTACGGCAGGGCAGGTTCGTGCAGTGACGACGTCGGCGTCGGGCTCTGCCACCGCGTGGACCGCTCGATGCCTTTTGCACGATCGCGGCTCGCCCGCGGCGTGGATCGCTCGACGTCGCGGCGCCAGAGCCACTCCGAGAAGCTGACGTCCCCCGAGATGGCCGCCGTCGCTGTGGGAGGCCAGGGCAGCCACCGAGCGGCCGCGCAGCGCCGGCGCCCTGCCGAACTCCACGGAGTGCGCCTTCGTCTGCACGTGGTGCGAGCCGTTCCAGACGAGCCCCGGGACGCCCTGCTCCCCGGCAGCAACGGTCGGGTCGGGCGACACGGGGGGGGGGATAGCAAAGGGTCGACTGCTGCCAGAAGTGCCCCTGGCCCACAGACACGAATAGGCGTCGACTCCCTGGAGATATGGAAGATATGGGGAGCGGGAATCCTGGGATGTGTGTCTATCTATTTGTGTCCCCGTGGGCGCCGTATTCAAGAGGTGCCCCCGGCCCAGGGTGCCCCCAGGATTTCCAGGGAGGCCCCCGCGGCCTCCAAAAAGGCACCCCTCACGAGGACCAAAGGGCCCCAGAGCTCCAGGATGGAGCGACCAGCAGGGGGGCACCCTGCCTGGGCCAGGGGCACCTCTGGCAGCCCGCGAGAAGGGGAGGTCGAGGAATCAGCGGCGCGCAGCTGCGGGAAACCTTCACGGAAGCCCTGCGGACCTCCGCGGCCCTCTCGTAAACGCGATGTCGACCAGAGCTCGTCCAGATCTCGACCACCCCTCTTCACCGGTTCATGCAAATTCGTCCAGATGTCGACCGAATCTGATGAAATCTGGAAGAACTCCCCCAAACTGCAAGGATTTGGGGGACCCTCTGAGGCTCCCATGCAAGACCACAACACCTCATGACTCGGTACGGCGGAAACGGGCACGGACCAGAAAGAATAAGGACGAAGACCGACAGAAGCTGCTGCCCACTTTGAGCAGGACTCGCCGTCGGCTTCGCCGCGGGCGCCGCCCACTTGAGACAGACGGTCCAGATGCCAAACAGCGGCCGCTGTCCCTCTTGGACAACAGCTGCCTGGACATCGTGCCCGTGTTTCCCGCACCCACCACTTGGCGGCGCACACAAGGGGGTGGAGGCAGGGGGGAGGGCCTCTTGGAAAAGGAGGCTGCTCCTCGGAGGGCGCCAGCCTTACACCTGTGGATCAGGCCCGCGCCTTGTAAGAAGCAGGGGCGCCTCTGAGAAGCCCTCCCCACCCCTCGCCATCGCTCGGACGTCCATTCCCTGTGTTTTTGTTCGGTTTCGCGCGTGGCTTTCTCGCCAGATGATCAAGGATGCTCCTCGATGGTCCTCGCCGAAGGAAAAATGCACACGTCCGAGCGGTGCCAAGCCCCTGCCACGCCACCCCCCTCCGCGCGTGGCCGACCCGTGTCGGGCATGCGGAGTGGCACCTCCCTGCTGCGCCAGGTGCGGCCGTGCATCCGGGCAGGGCGTCCAGCGCCGGGGCCGGAGGCCGGCAACGTGAGCGGCAGATGTCGTGAGCCCCCGCTTCCCTCGCTGGGGGGCTTCAACGACTTCGGTTTGAAGGGGCCCCAGGACACACCAACAAATACACACTAATAAAAATATTCCCCATATTTTCCCATATGTTCCGGGTGTTTGTCTTCCCCCCACTCCCCATATTTTCCCATATTTTCTAGGGGGATCGACGATTAATTGTGTCTGTGTGTTTCTTTCCCTCCTGATTCAACGACTTCGGTTGTCCCTCGACTCGCGCTGGAGCCTCCACGACTTGCTCCAAATGCCCCTTGAGATCTCTGGGCTTACCTCCGTCTATCTGGACTCGCCTCGCGTTGCCTGGATGAGCCTCGATGCTTTTGGCCCGATCCCCGCGGGTCGATCAGCAAAAAGCTGGTAAGCGCTTAGGGATTCCCCGGCTACACGTAAGAGTGGCCCTAGGCAAGAGTAACCTTCGGTGTTGGGGGCGCGAGGGGGCCAAACCCCAGCGCGCAGGCCGCTGCCATCGCATCGCATTCAGCGATCGGGAGTCCCCAGTGGACCCGCACGCGAACGGTAACTCTTACGTGTAGTCGATATTCCTGCCCCCCTCCACTGTCGCCCGGCCCGAGAAGTGCAGAGCGTGGGTGGTGTCGGCCTTGAGGTCCGCCACAGTGCCGCGGGCACCAAGCTGAGAGGCC